AGCCAGGGCTGTACAGAGACCCTGTCTCAAAAATCAAACAAACAAAAAAGTAAAGAGTAGTTGCACATGACTGTACTTCCAGCACTTACTTGGGAAGCAACAGGCAGGAGAATCAGAAGTTCGTCTCAAAAAAGAAACAGGAAAAATATTAAATAATAATGTTTATAAAAAAACTTTATGAAATTCATAATTTGATCAGAAATTAACTGATTTCCCAAAGCAATGGTTATTCAGCTGACTTTGTTCTCTATGTAGACCTTCCTATAGATATTCTACGTTACATGTGGGAAGTGATCCAAGCCAACACGGGCTTTGAGACATACTCTTACCATGTTGTCCTAGCTGAAACTTGCTCTGTAGACCTCACTGGCTCTCAACTCTGCCTCTAACTGTTTTGTTTTTTATTTGTATTTTCTATGGTATATTAATACTCTCTAACTTCTTAGTGTTTGAGAATTTCATACAGGCAAATAATGTGTTTTGACTAAGTTCACCCTCCACTCCCTCTCTTCCAATTCCTTCCTTACCCTTCTACCACTATCTAGTACCAACTTCCTGTGCTCGTTTTTCTTTTCTTTTTTTTAAACCCACTGAGTCTACTTAGTGCTGTTAGTATGTGCTTGGATATAGGGAATCACCTGGAACATGGAGAGTCTCTCGGGGGCACATCCTTAAAGAAAACTGACTCTGCCTCTCTCAGCAGCCATCAACAGCTTCTTAGCAAGGAGCTCAACTTTGTGACCCACCTCCACATGCTGGGATTTTGTCTGGATGATATCATGCAGGTCCTGTGCATGTTGTCACAACTGCTGTGAGCTCTTATGTGCAAATGACCTGCTGTGTCCAAAAAAGTTTAGTTTCCTAAATGTTGATGGTTTACTGTCAATATTCTGCATTCCCTATTGGATAACTGCAGTGTGATTTCTGGAGGCAAAATACACTAATTTACACCATCAGTAATTATGTGATAGACTCCAAAGTGACTAATTACTGAGGGTGTCTTACAATGGAGAGGTCTGACAGATGTTGCCCACGTCCTTTAACTCTCCACTAACACTGGGTTCCTGAAGGACAGCTAGTACTGCCAGTGCAGTAGTTTTGTCTAGGGCAGCAGCTCTCAACCTGTGGGTTGTGACCCCTTTAGGGGTCGAACGACCCTTTCACAGGGGTCACCTAAGACCATTAGAAAACACAGATATTTATGTTATAATTCATAACAGTAGCAAACTTACAGTCATGAAGTAGCAATGGAAAGTAAATTTATGGTTGGGGGTCACCTCAACATGAGGAACTGTATTAAAGCGTCGCAGCATTAGGAAGGTTGAGAACCACTGGTGATTCTAAGGTGATTAACTAGAAACTAAACATACAGGGCAAAGCAATAATCCAAATTGAAGCGTGTTCTCCAATACAAATGGTCTGAACTTGTTGTTGTTGTTTTGTTTTCTGAGACAGGGTTTCTCTGTGTAGCCTTGACTATCCTGAAACTCATTCTGTAGACCAGGCTGGCCTGAAACTCACAGAAATCCACTTACCTCTGCCTCCTGAGTGCTGGTTTAAAGGCATAAGTCACCACCACCTGGCATATGTCTGGACTCTTAAAAGACAAAACCCACTATTTAATCTTGACTGTGTAAGAACAACTAGAAAGAGTATCAATGGAATAACTGGGCCTAAAAGCCCCATGCATAGACCTACTCAAAATACAGGCTGCCAAACTGTTATTGGCGAAAAATGAGAAAAATCTTTAAAACCAAAAGCCACCTCTTACTAGCTTAAGACAAGAGGTACATCAACTTTATATGGAAAAACAAAAGACCCAGGATAGCTAAAAGAATCCTGTATAATAAAGCAATCTCTGGAGGCATCACCATCCCTAACATCAAGCTCTACTATAGAGCTATAGTAATAAAAACAGCTTGGTACTGGTATAAAAACCGACATACAGACCAATGGAATCGAATTGAAGACCCTGACTTTAATCCACGTACATATGAACACCTGATTTTTGACAAAGAAGCCAAAACTATACAGTGGAAAAAAAGAAAGTATCTTCAACAAATGGTGCTGGCATAACTGGATGTCAATATGTAAAAGATTACAAATAGATCCATATCTGTCACCATGCACAAAACTCAAGTCCAAGTGGATCAAAGACCTCAACATAAATCCAGTTACACTAAACTTAATAGAAGAGAAAGGAGGAAGTAGTCTTGAATGCATTGGCACCAGAGATCACTTCCTAAATATAACACCAGCAGCACAGACACTGAGCACAACAATTAATAAATGGGACCTCTTGAAACTGAGAAGCTTTTGTAGGGCAAAAGACACGGTCAATAAGACAAAAAGACAGCCTACAGAATGGGAAAAGACCTTCACCAACCCCACATCTGACAGAGGACTGATCTCCAAATCAAATAAAGAACTCAAGAAACTAGACATCAAAATACTGAACAATCCAATTAAAAAATGGGCTAAAGAGCTAAACAGAGAAGTCTCAAAAGAAGAATTACAAATGGCTGAAAGACATTTCAAGAAATGCTCAACATCCTTAATCATCAGAGAAATGCAAATCAAAACGACTCTGAGATACCACCTTACACCTGTCAGAATGGCTAAGATCAAAAACACTAATGATAGTCAATGTTGGAGAGGATGCAGAGCAAAGGGAACACTCCTCCACTGTTGGTGGGAATACAAACTTGTACAACCACTGTGGAAATCAGTATGGCGGTTTCTCAGAGAATTGGGAATCGATCTACCTCAAGACCCAGCCAGACCACTCTTGAGCATATACCCAAAGAATGCTCAATCATACCACAAAGATACATGCTCAACTATGTTCAAAGCTGCACTAACTGTAATAGCCAGAACCTGGAAACAACCTAGATTCCCATCAACTGAAGAATGGATTAAGAAAATGTGGTACATATACACAATGGGGTACTACTCAGCAGAGAACAACAATGACAGCATGAAATTTGCAGGAAAATGGATGGAACTAGAAAATATCATCCTGAGTGAGGTAACCCAAACCCAGAAGGACAAACATGGTATGTACTCACTCATAAGTGGATTCTAGATATAAAGCAAAGAACAATCAGACTGCAACCCACAGAACCAGGGAGGCTATACAGCAGGGGGGACCCTAGGATGACTGTGGCTTATAATAAGTTTTAGTTTTACCCAATCACTGGGCAAGCCTCAGTGAAACATTTCACTATTAGGATTAAGAATTTATACTGTATCAAGCTGATAATAGAAAAATAAATAAATAAATAAAAATGGGGGGAAAAAGATAGGTACAGTAACTATGAGCATGGAGATACCTGTTGGACGTATGCATTATTCATACTTAGCCATTAGAATCATTACATTATGAAGAACAGAGATCACTTGTATCAAGGTCTGCCAAGCCTGGCAAACTGATTCAATTCTCAGGACCCCATGGTACAAAGAGAGCCAATGGCCACAAGCTGTCCTCTGGCCTCCATACACGTGCTGTGACATGAGTGACCACACCCACACATAAAGACAGACAGCACTAAACAGTGGTGAATCTGAATGACAGAATGTGAACTAGGTGAGTGTTTAACATAATATTATTCTTGCATCTCTGCCTTAAGTGCATTTCACAAAAGAAAATGTTGTCGAGGAAGAGTTTTAAATGAGTGAATTTGGTACTAGAGAGATGGCACAGAAGTTAAAAGCACTGACTGCTCTTCCAGAGGACCTGAGCTCAATTCCTACATCTACATGGTTCACAACCATCTGCAACTCCAGTTCCAGGGGAACTGACACCCTCTTCTTACCTCTTCAGGCACCAGGCATGTACACAGTACACAGACATACACACAGGCAAAAGACCCACACATACAATACAATTAAAAATAAATACAATAAGCATTGTTGGGCACAGGAGCTCATGCATGCAGTCTCAGCACTCCAGAAGTTGAGGAAAATGGAACATTGTAACTTCAGCCACCTTGGACCACATAGTGACTCCAGGACAGTTTGGGCTACAGTGACAGCCAATCTAAAGAAATTGTTAAAAGTTGTGCTCTGTACACTATTTATAAAACTGAAAATACAAAACTCCACTTTCCAAAATGTATTTTCACTGGATAAAAACAGGCAATACTGTGTGTTAAAGGGTTATATACCATGGATCAACCAAATATGGACAGAAAACATTTAGGGGAAGAAAATCCATCTGCAAAGAACATGTACACATATTTTTCTTGTCACTAGTCCCCACACACTGTGCTATTTTCATGGCATTTACATTTAATGAAGTATTATAAGTCAGATATTTAATGTACAGAAGAGGTTGTACATAGGTTATATGCTGACACTATGTAATTTAATATATGGGACTTAAGAATCTGAGGACTCGCTAGGTGGTAGTGACACATGCCTTTAATCCCAGCACTTGGGAGGCAGAAGCAGGTGGATCTCTGTAGGTGGAAGTTTCTCTTCCACCTACCTGTTCCCAAATACCCAGCAGTTGCTTCTTAAATAATTGACTAAGAGGCTTAATATTATTTATAAATGCTCAGCTGGTAGCTTAGGTTTATTACCAACTAGCTCTTATATTTAAATTAACCCATAATTCTTATCTATGTTTAGTCATGTGGCTTGGTACCTTTTCTCAGCACTGCATTCTCATCTTGCTTCCTCTGCATCTGGCTGGTGACTCCGGACTCTGCCCTTCCTCTTCCCAGAATTCTCCTAATCTGGTTGCCCATCTATACTTCCTGCCTGGCTACTGGCTAATCAGTGTTTTATTAAACCAACAGGCGTGACAAATCTTTACAGCGTACAAGAACATTATCCCACAGCAGATCTCTAAGAGTTTGAGGTTAGGCTGGTCTACAGAGTGAGTTCTAGGACATTCAGGGCTACACAGAGAAACCCTGTCTCGAAAAACCATAAAAACAAAAACAAAACACCGCCTTGTAAAAGCACTAGTTTCAAACTCATGGAAAACCTCTTACCTCACTTCTTCACCAGCGAAGTCAAACACCTTGGTAATTTTCACTTTTTCTGATTCTTTAGGTTTCTCCAGCTCATCTGCTTTCGTCAACAGTTTATTTGAACTAGTCTCTTCAGTCTCCTCTGCTGCCTAAAGGGTAAGAAATGGAATCAGGCCTGTAGTGACATACATGTTTAATAAGTGCAGCACTCAGGAGGCAGAAACTTGAGGATCTGTGCTAGTTTGAAATCAGCCTGGTCTACATAGTGAGTTCCAGGCCAGCTAGGGCTACACAGTGAGACTCTGTCTCAAAAATAAATATATCAATCAGTTTCACCAAGGTATAAGACTAAAAGAACTGTCTGAACATGCTGTTTAGGGTTGTTTCTGCCATGGTTCATTTCCAATTCCAAAAATTACTAGAGGACCTGGAGATGGCTCAATGGTTAAGAGCATTGACTGCTCTTCCAGAGGACCCAGGTTAATTTTCAGAACTCATAAGGTGGCTCACAACCACCTATAACTCCAGTTCCAAAAAAATCTAATGCCCTCTTCTTGCAACCATGGGTACTACATGTATGGGGTGCATAGATATACATGCAAGTAAATTACCTGTCCACATAAAATAAAATAAAATAAGCTTATTAGAGAGGTTGGAAAGATGACTCAGCAGTTAGAGAGTTTTTGCAGAGTCAGGGTGGTGGTAGTTCACACCTTTAATCCCAGCACTTTGGAGGCAGAGACTTGAGGATCTCTGCTAGTTTGAAGTCAGTCTGGTCTACAGAGTGAGTTTCAGGTCAGCTAGGGCTACACAGTGAGACTCTTGTCTCGAAAAACCAAAGAAAAAAAGAAAAAGAATTTTCGCAGAGGACCCAAGCTCGGTTCTTAGCACCCAAATCCAGGCAACTCATAACAGCCTATAACTCCATCTCCAAGGTGATCTATGCTTTTGGCCAACGTGGGCACCTGTACTTACATGCACATATCTACACATAGGCACGAACATATACTCCTAATTAAAAATCACAACAAATAAATCTTTTAAAAATTTTATTTTTATTTAGGTGTATACATATTATAAGCCACATGTATACAGGTACCTTTGGAGGCCAGAAGAGGACATTAAATACCCTAGAGCTAGAGTTACAGGCATTTGTCAACTACCTGATATGGGTGCTGAGAACTGAACTCAGGTCCCTTGGAAGAGCATTAAGTGCTTTTAACCACAGAGCATCTCTCCAGCTCAACAAATAATCTTTAAAGAGTTTATAAAGGTCTACTAACAATATATCTGATTAAAACAACTCATTTTCCCCTACTGCTAAGGAATGCTTTGCTTTTCACTTAGTAAAGTCAATATCAAAAGACATCAGGTTTACTTTTTGCTTTGAGATTCAAATCTCAGTCAGTTTGTAAATTAAAAAAATAGGAAGCTGCTGGGGAACTGAGGGTGTTTCTGGAGAGTTATCTATCCCATCAATCTCTCAACTTACCTTAACTTGTGAACTTGGAGCTGCTTTTGACTTTGGTCCCACATCATTAAGGAAGCTGGCCCACAGTTCATCTTCCTTCTTCTTCCTTGCATTCTCGGACCCAAGGCCTCCTTGCTCTTCTTCATCTTCTCCACTACTACTACCTCCAGATTCTTCCTTGCCGTCCTCCTCGTCTTCTAACAAGAGGCCACTTTGTTTTCTCTTTCTAATCACCAACAGCCACCCAGAAAAAGATAAGACAAGACAGAATGCAAAATTATTCATTCCCTTTCCTCAACTCTTAGACCACCTTACACACTTGAAAGTTTAAATCTGTGATTACTAATAACACGATAGGAGACAGAATAGGTGAACTTTGATTTAACTGTTTGAAAAAGAGTTATTCACTTAGATAATGTGTATGTGTGTGTTCCTGAGTTCATGTATGTGCACCACATGCACACAAGAGCCTGTGGAGGTCAAAAGAGGGTGTTAAATCCCCTGGAACTAAGGTTACAGGCAGCTGCAAGCCTCCATGTACATGATGATAACTGAACCCAGGTCCTCTGCTAGAGTAGAAACTGTTTTAACCTCTCAGTCAACTCTCTAGTCCTGACTTCATTTTTTTATTGTTTTTCAAAATAAGGTTTCTCTGTGTGTAGCAGCCCTGGCTGTCCTGGAACTCAGAGATCTACCTGCCTCTGGAGTGCTAGGATTAAAGGCATGTGCCACCACAGCACAACTAATTTTTTTTAAGAATATTTATTCGGGCTGGAGAGATGGCTCAGAGGTTAAGAACCCTGGTTGCTCTTCCAGAGGTCCTGAGTTCAATTCCCAGCAACCACATGGTAGCTCACAACCATCTGTAACGTGATCTGGTACCCTCTTCTGGCCTGCAGGCAGAACACCGTGTACATAATAAAGAAATAAATCTTTTAAAAAAAAGAATATTTATTCATTAACAATAGTACAATTTAGAATTATACCATACAGTGAAAAAAATACCCACAATTTTCTCAGTGTTTTCAAATTCTTGGCATGTTACTCTTTGAAATTCGGGAACAATAAATCAGTATCTCAGTATTCTCAGGGTTTTTTAAATTATATTTTAAACATATTTCTAATAATCTTCAGAGTCGATAATTTGAATAGCTGAAATTCTTATTTAAAGAATAAAACACATTGAGTCTAGTAGTACTTACAAAGTTTAACTACATCCTGAAGGAATAGTTAATGAAAATTTAAAATTCAGGCCTCCCATTAACATGGAATCACATATGGATACTGCCCATGTGAGGACTTACCTGCACTGCAAATGTGCTGTACCTGGGAAGCAACTGAAGGGTTCTCATGGCATACACCGTATCCACTGTGTGTGTGAACTCTCCAGTAAGCACTGTCTCTTTACTACTCCCCCTTCTTCTTAATACAGCGGAGCGCTGAGCTCACTTGAAACTTAAATTGAGTATGCCAAGACCGTTATTCTCACTAAGGAAACACCTGAGGCAAGCATGGTGGTGCACACCTTTAATCTGAGCACTCAAGGAAGCAGAGGCTTGAATGCTCCTGTGAGTTGGAGGCCAGGTTGCTCTACGTAGTGAGTTCCAGACCAGCCAAGCTACAACGTGAGAACCTTTCTCCAAAACAAAACAAAACAAAACAAAACAGCAAACAAAATAAAAAAATAAATAAAAACCCAACAACTAAAAACAGATAAAAAGAAAATACCCAAGATCACCTCATAAGATTAATCTGTTCAGAAATGGGGTTCTATAAACATATGTGCTAAACACTTTTTTACTTCTAAAAGCCACTTCATTTGGAGAACAAAGTCTACTCATTCTCAGATTTACTTGTATTATGTTCTTCTACACACTCTAAAAAAAAATATAGCAATTTCATGCCACCTCCAAAAGAAACAAGTTCAAATACAAAAAAGAGAACTGGACCTAAGACTTCAAAAGTCCACGTTACACTATTTGGATCTTGAAAACATCATATAGTACTTAATGTTCATTTTCTCCTTTTCATAAACTTCGATACCCAAGACAGAAACAACAGTGATAGAGAGAGTCCTACAGAAGATGCCTTATCTGAGTTATAACCTGTGACTTTCCTATTTTGGGATGGACTGTAATTCAGAACATGGCCTGTGGAAAATCAACTGAAAATAATTTCATTTAGATCAAACAATTCTACACCTTCAAATTTGACTTACAAAAATCCTCGTACCAGTATAACAACATGTTCTGTTAATGTGTTCTGCTAATGTATTCTGCAGCCTTTTGCTGTGACAAAGACCATACAATCTAATTGCTCCTCAATAACAGGATGCTTAAGTCAAGTCAGGCCTATTCATAAAGTGTGGCACTCCAGTCCCTGAAAGAACAAGGTATGTCCAGGACTGCCATGGTGTCCTTTAACATAATGGACTCAGTGAGAATTGTTAGAGTGGTGCCTCCCTGGAATTGCAGTCCTGCTCAGAAGACTGAGACAAGAAGCTCAAGAATGGCCCAGCCTGGACAACACAGCGGGAGAGCAAGAGTGAGTGTGGGATGCAGTGTGCTACCTTTTGTTTTTTTTTTGTTTTTTTTTTTTTTTTTGTTTTTTGTTTTTTTTTTTTGGTTTTTCGAGACAGGGTTTCTCTGTGTAGCTTTGCGCCTTTCCTGGAACTCACTTGGTAGCCCAGGCTGGCCTCGAACTCACAGAGATCCGCCTGGCTCTGCCTCCCGAGTGCTGGGATTAAAGGCGTGCGCCACCACCGCCCGGCTGTATTATTTTTAAATAAAGAGCGTAGGAAATATACTCCCACACTGAGTGTGACAGTATCTAAGGTAACAAGCTTTTCGGGGTAAGAACAGAAAATGAATCCTGTAGTAACAGAGGATTGTTTTAACTATGTGCGTTATTTTACCCAGTTTTTTTTTTTTTTTTTTTTTTTTGGTTTTTCGAGACAGGGTTTCTCTGTGTAGCTTTGCGCCTTTCCTGGAACTCACTTGGTAGTCCAGGCTGGCCTCGAACTCACAGAGATCCGCCTGGCTCTGCCTCCCGAGTGCTGGGATTAAAGGCGTGAGCCACCACTGCCCGGCTTACCCAGTTATTTTTAAAAGTAAGTCCTAAAAATTTTTAAATTTGTTGCAAAGGCCAAATTTTTTTGAAACAATTTTACTTATTTTTAGTTTATGTGCATTGGCGGTTTGCCTGTTGTGTCTACGTGTCAGATCCCTTGGAACTGGAGTTAGAGACAGCTGTGAGCTGCCACGTGAGTGCTGGGAAGTGAACTCCAGTCCTCTGGGAGAGTAGCCAGCTCTCTTAACTGCTGAGCCATCTCTCTAGCCCATTTTGTTTTTGTTTATCAAGACAGGGTTTACCTGTGTAGCGCTGGCTATCCTGGAACTCACTTTGTAGACCAGGCTGGCCTCGAACTCACAGAGATCCGCCTGCCTCTACCTCCCAAGTGCTGGGATTAAAGGCATGTGCCACCACTGCCCAGCTGAAGGCCAAGATTTTAATTTCAGAATATCAGCAAATATTTCCTTCATACAGAAAGGTGTTAAAAACCTTGGCAATAGCTGAGTAGAGGTGTCGAGGTCTACAAAGCAAGTTCCAGGACAGCCAGGACTGTTACAGAGAAACTCTGTCTCAAAAAACCAAAATAAAAGAAATTTTATAAATTTATTATATAAATATTATATAAATTTAAATTATAAAATTATAAATTTTATAAATAAAAGGTGGTGGTGGCGCACACCTTTAATCCCAGCGCTCAGGAGGCAGAGCCAGGCAGATCTCTGTGAGTTCGAGGCTAGCCTGATCTACAGAGCAAGATCCAGGACAGGCACCCAAACTACAGAGAAACCGTGTCTCAAAAAACAATAAATAAATAAATAAATAAATAAATAAATAAATAAATAAAAATACAAAACACCCAACAACAACATAAACCAAAAAACTCTGGCAATAAAGCTAGGTATAGTGGTTCATGCCTACAATCCTTACAATCCAGGAGGCTGAAGCTGGAGGCTAGGCCAGTCTGTGCTACAGCACACACACACACAAACAATAAATGTGAAAAGACAGACAGACATCTATCATGAGAGCAATTTCAGCAATGAAGATAGCTCTTATGTAAAGGCCTTGAGGGCAGCATCACCTGGCTGGAATGCTCTGAGCCTTCCTTCTTTTCCCTTTGGTTTTCTCAGCCTGCTCTTCACCATCCACTTCGTCTTCCTTCACTAATTCATTGACATCATCTTCACTGTACTCTCCACCTGAAACCATGTAACAGGGTGGTCAGACCGCTGGAATGAAGATTTTCACAAAGCATAAAGAATGAATTCTGCCGGGCGGTGGTGGCGCACGCCTTTAATCCCAGCACTCGGGAGGCAGAGCCAGGCGGATCTCTGTGAGTTCGAGGCCAGCCTGGGCTACCAAGTGAGTTCCAGGAAAGGCGCAAAGCTACACAGCGAAACCCTGTCTCGAAAAACCAAAAAAAAAAAAAAAAAAGAATGAATTCTGAGCCAGGCATGGCCGTGCACACCTGATGCTCAGTACTTGGAGGTGGAGGCAAGAGAACCAGAAGTTCAAACTTTTTCTCGGTTACACTGTGAGGTTGAAGCCAGCCTGGGCTACATGAAATCTTGTCTCAAAAACAAAAGCAAACAAACAAGTAAACAAAGAAACAAACAAACAAACAAACCCCCTAAAACAGCAGCCACAATAAAACAAATCAAAAACTTTAGCCCTCGTAAGATAAATATTTCTGAGCTGGGCATAGCAATGCACGCCTTTAAATCCCAGCACTCTGGAGGCAGAGGCAGGCAGATTTCTGAGTTCCAAGCCAGCCTGGTCTATAGAATGAATTCCAGGTAAACCAAGGCTACACAAAGAAACCCTGTCTTAGAAAAAAGAGAGAGAGAGAGGAGGGGGAAGAGAAAGCAAGCGGGTGGGAGAGAGAAATTTCTGTTTATTGAATGATGCAGGATCAATGTCACTACAATAGCAGTGAACATCACTGAAATTCAAGTGGTATTTTTTATATAATTTACATTATAAAGGGTTTCCTTGGGGGGGTAAAAAAAATTAGTTCATTTCAGGCAAGTAAAAGAAAAGGTGGAATCAGGACACCCAGCTGTACCACAAAGTCAGGGCCTTAGTTAATAATAGGTTGTAATACGGGCCAAGTAGGGTGATGCACCTGAACTGAGGCCAGCCCAATCTACATTGCACATAGGCCAGCCAGGGCTTTGTAATGAGACCCTGCCTCAAAACAAACCAAGAACAGGTCATATTAAATGGACTGAGCTGGGTCTGCAGCTTAGTGCTAAAGCACCTGCCCATTAAAAAAAGCAGGTGGCAGGAAGGGAAAACACTCTACCTACAGACAGCAAAACTCAGAAGCAACAGATTTGCTGTAAGACCCGGTACCTCCAAAGCATGGTGGCAATGCCTGTGATTCCAGACATGAAGGTGGAGGGCAAGAAGCCAGACTGGACTTTCATCCTGGCTAGGAGTATTGATATAAAAACAATATAAGGAGCTGAGGGGGGGGGGGGGCACGCCTTTAATCTCAGCACCTGGGAGGCAGAGGCAGGCAGATCTCTTTGAGTTCGAGGCCAGCCAGGTCTACAGAGCTACTTCCAGGACAGGCTCCAAAGCTACACAGAGAAACCCTATCTCGAAAAGCAAAAAAAAAAAAAAGTTTTTTAAAAAGTTATGTATAAGCATAGCTATATGTGAGTACAGGTACATGTACAGTACAGAGCTGGAGTTACAGGAGGTTTTTAGCTACCCAATGTGGATGCTGCGAACCAAACTTGGGTCCACTGCAAGAGCACCTCACTTTCTTAATATTGAGCCATCCCTCCAGACCCCAGAGTAGGCATCTTGGGTTTTGACAGACATATTTTGATTCACCTTGGAAGCTGTCTTACCTAGGGTTTTTATTGCTGTGATTAAACACTATGACCAATTACACAGAAACCCTGTCGAAAAACAAAACACCCAACCAAACCAAACCAAACAAACACATCATGACCAAAAGCAATCTGAAGAGGAAAGGGTTTATTTCACCTTATAGTTTACAGTCCATCATGAAGGAAGTCAGGGCAGGAACCTGGAGACAGGAACTGATGCAGAGGCCATGGAAAAGCGGCTGTTACTGGCTTGCTCCCCACAGCTTGCTCAGCCTGCTTTCTTATAGCACCCAGGACCACCAGCCTGGGGGTAGCACCACCCACATCAACCATCAATCATGAAAACGCACCACAGGCTTGCCAACAGGCCATCTGGTCAGGACATTTTCTAACTGAGGTTCCCACTTCCCAAATGACTCTGGCTTGTGCCACGTTGACACAAAACCAGCCAGAAAAGAAGCACCGATGAAATGGACTAAAATTGCTGTCATTCACAGAGAACAAATCAGTGTTTTGAAATATTCAAAGATGATAACTGAATGCAATAGAAACAAAAAGTCCCATAACAATAAAATACATGTTTCGATTTGCCTTCTTTCAAACAGTATTTCTGTTTTAGGTTTTTGTTTTGTATTGAGACAGTCATGTGTACCCCAGGCTGGCCTCAAACTCACAGTGCAGCTGAGATGGCCTTGAACTTCTGGTCTTCCCACCTTTACCTCTCAAATGCTAAGATTAAGGAAGTGTGTTCTCACACTTGGGCATCAAACAGCACACACATCCCTACTTCTTCACAATAGACTCTTCTCAAGAAGGCAATGGGTCTTGCTAGACCTAAAACTGAATGTAAGATTTTTATTCCACAATATGGTTGGTACAGGTAAGGGTCCTCAGGTTCTCTCTCCAAAGCCACCTTCCCACCTCTACTGCCTGTGGTTGACCTCTCATCCCTCATCTCCTCCTTCCACAACAGGACAGTGTTCTGAGGAGCACAGCCATATATATTCTTCGCATCTCTCCCCTGCAGTCATCTGTGGCAAACGTTCTTTCTCCACACCTTTCACCTTGTTGCTATGGGGGTGGCAGACCGGAGCTCCAGGTTCCCTGGGCTCACAGGGGACAGGAGGGAAAGACTGAAAGGAGCTTTGGGGCACATGCTGTTGGCCTCCTCCAGCTGCTGCTCTTCTCCCAGAGTGCACCTCTTTGAAAGGTGCCTGTGAGGAGCAATACAGGGAGACTGCCTAGGTTCCCACTCCGCTAGCTCAACCACCACTTTTTTTTTTTTTTTTTTTTTTTTTTTTTTTTGGTTTTTCGAGACAGGGTTTCTCTGTGTAGCTTTGCGCCTTTCCTGGAACTCACTCGGTAGTCCAGGCTGGCCTCGAACTCACAGAGATCCGCCTGGCTCTGCCTCCCGAGTGCTGGGATTAAAGGCGTGCGCCACCACCGCCCGGCTTGTTTTTTTTTAAAGACAGGGTCTCACTATGTACCTTTGGCTAGTATGGAACTCACTATGTAGACCAGGCTAGCCTCAAACTCATCTCTGAGCCTGTCTGCCTGCCTGCTTCTGCCTCCTAAGTGCTAGGATCAAAAGCATGTGCCATCACATCCAGCACTCAGCTATTATCTAGATTGGTGACTTTCAACTATCTGCTTATGCTTTCTGATCCTCAGTCTTTTCATCTGTAAAATGGATGGTACAAAAGCACACGCCTGGAAGCACTGTGTGATTAGGTTAGCAGTGAGTTATCATTCAAGTATTTTAAAGGTATGTGCACACAAAAGGCATTCTTGAATAGGGAATAGTTAACCTCTTTCTAAATAGTGAAACACTGATGTCCTCTCAGCCTCCTTAAAGACAGATAGCCAAGAGCTAGAAGAATGACCTTTCTCATCATTCCTACTTCAACACCACAGTGGGAGTATCTAGCGCAATATGTCAAGCAATAGAAATACAAAAGTATCAGAAAAAGACTAAAGCTTCCTATTCAGCCTTGACATAATTAGTTATCTACCTGGAAAATACCATGGAACCTACAAAACCTCCAGAACTAATATATGGTTTAACAAGTTTGAAGAATGCAAGGTTAGCATGCTAAAACCCAAAGTATAATGTTCTTCTGTTCTAGCAATAAATAAACAACTGTAAATAAAAGACCTACATAGAGAGCAGAGCGTGTTCACAGACTGGTAGAGAAGACTGTTATCCATTCTTCTCACACTGACCTACAGATTCAGTGCGATTCCAAACAAAATCCAGGCACAGCATCTGTGGGGAGACTGAAGGAAGCCAAGAGTTATGGGAGACCTATCTGGGTGGAGGCAGGCGGGGGAAGAACATGGTAACTACAACAGTGCAGAAGGTCTAATACAGGCTCAACACAACAATGAAGATTCCAGAAAAAACTTCCAGGGAGAAGTTTCTAGAAGGCTCACTGACTACCAACCAAGTCATGCCAAAGTGCATGAGGACACTGATGACACTCCAGCATCAGGAATATGGCGGCAAAGAGAAAGTCCTTCGGAGACAAAGAGATCCTACACAGCGAGCACTGGGCAGCAAACCCGAGATACTGCACAGGTCAGACAAACCCTCCCCCATCTCCGAGCTGCATCTCCAGACCACAAGACAGACCTGCTGGCGACTCTGGGACCCAGCAAGCCAAGCAACTTTCACAATTCTGAGGAAAAACTCCTCCCAGCTTCTGTTATCAACCAACCATCAAACAGGCCTGAGGTAACGTTTAGACATTCTAGGTCTCAGAACAAAGTTTCTGTCTTGCCTCCTTCCTCAGGAAGCCATTAAGTGTTCTCTTCTCATTTTGGTGGAACATATCAAAAAAGAAGACCGCACACACCGAAATGAGTGAATCTGAGGCGGGCACAGTGGCCCACACCTAGAGTTAATGCATAGGTGGAGGGAGGAGGGTCAGGAACTCAAAGTTAAACCAGTTACATATGGACTTCAAGGCCAGCCCAGAACACGGGAATACAGAAAAGGAACAGAGGAGACCTGAAAGGGTGGTCATGATGGCGGAAGACCCAAGGTTTAAAGTTCCAACAGGCAGACAAAGAGAAACCACACCAAAATGAAGCAAGGTTAAGGTAAAGATAAACTTCCAAGAGATGGAGATAAAAACCCAAGGAATCTAAGTATGCTAGGCGATGATTCTGGCAATTCTGAAAGACCAGAGCATGGACAACTAAGTTAAAAATGAGAAACAGGCCGGGCGGTGGTGGTGCACGCCTTTAATCCCAGCACTCGGGAGGCAGAGCCAGGCGGATCTCTGTGAGTTCGAGGCCAGCCTGGGCTACCAAGTGAGTTCCAGGAAAGGCGCAAAGCTGCACAGAGAAACCCTGTCTCGAAAAACAAAAAAAAAAAAAAAAAAAAAAAAATGAGAAACAGAAAGACGGCTCAGTGGATAAAAGCACTTGCCACCAGCCCTGACAACCTGAGCTCCATCCCTGGAAGCCACATGGTGGAAGGACAGTACCCTACTCCATGTTGTCGTCTACCGCCTGCATGCAAACTGTGGTCACACACTAAATACATGTAAAACAAAACAGACAATCACTAATTCCAGAGAAAGGCAGTCTAGCTGAAGCAATCACAGCACACCCCATGGCTCAGCTGTGAACAGGTGTCCATACAATCAGCAAAAAGGCAAACAGAATACTTATCTAATCAAAACGGGTACAATGGCAGGAGGGGGTAATTCCTTTGAAGAGGAATTGAAGAGAGGTTGAAGAATGTATGCTGGAGACAGGGGAATGAGATATGGTGCTAAAAAGAAACTCACTATGTATGACTTAACTCAAAAGAAACTAGCAGGCCGCATGGTGGTGATGAACACCTTTAATCCCAGTGCTTGGGAGGCAGAACTCTGTGAGTTTGAGGCCAGTCTAGTCTACAGAGCAAGTTCCAGAACAGGCTCCAAAGCTACACAGCTAAACCCTGTCTTAAAAAAAAAAAAAAAAGGAAAAGAAAAGAAAGAAAGTAGCAAAGCCAAGCTAGAAAAGGGGAAAGCAGTTTCCTTAAATGGACTGAAATATCTATGTTTGAGTATGTATATGCATAACTTTCATTAAAATGAGATGAAAACTGATTTCCAAAAATGGTCACCCTGGTTGTCGGCAAAAGAACAATGTTAGAGAGGATGGGGTGGGGTGGGGATGGCTCAGAGGCATAGCACTTGGCTAGCTTGTTTGAGACCTGGGTTTTATTCCTCAGCTTCTGAGGGTGAAGAAGGAGTAAATGTTGGTAGGTGGAATGAGGAAAAAGCTGGAAAATTCTGAACACTCCTAGTGAAGGATGATGGTAGTCTAGAATGAAATGACAGCCATGAAATTGGCTGGGTAACTTTCCAGATACAACAAAAGCTTTAGATTCTAAAGCTGGGGAGGGGTCTGGAGAGATGGCTTGGCCTTAAGAGCACTTCTTACTCTTGCACTCACGTGGTGGCTCACAGCCATCTCTAACTCCAGTTCCTCCCAACCCCTTCGAGCAGCACACAAGCAATATGCAGGCATAACACTCACATACATAAAATACAATTTAAAAACCTAAAAATGGGCCAGGCAGTGGTGGTGCACTCCTTTAATCCCAGTAATCGGGAGGCAGAGGCAGGCGGGTCTCTGAGTTCCAGGACAGCCAGGACTACAGAGAAACCTTGTCTCAAAAACAAAAACAACCTTTAATCCCAGCACTCGGAAGGCAGAGCCAGGCAGATCTCTGTGAGTTCGAGGCCAGCCTGGGCTACCAAGTGAGTTCCAGGAAAGGCGCAAAGCTACACAGAGAAACCCTGTCTCGAAAAAACAAAAACAAAAAAATCTAAAAACAATTTTTTTAAATAAATTTAAAAACCGTTTGGAGGGAGGATGCTGAAGAGAGAGCTCAGTGGTTAAGAGCCCTTGCCATTCTTTCCGAAAGGACTGGAATTCCACTTCCAGCACCATGACACCTGAAACTCTAAGTTCAGGAGATCTGACATTCTCTTCCAGCTTCCCCAGGTACCACACACATGTACATACATATGCAGACATATATATGAAATTAAAAAATTAAATCTTAAAATTTTTACTGCATTCTCCCATCCCTAGTGGTACTCATGTGTATGCCTTCCTGTAGAGGGCAAAGGCCAACCTAGAATATCATTCTTAAAGCTGTCCACCTCTTTTGAAAAAGGTCTCTTATTGGCCTGGAGCTCACAAATTAGGTTAATTGGCTTGCAGAAGGACATCGCCCTGTGTCTTCCCAGCACAGTGGGATCATATAAGCGTTGAGCATTTACACCAGGCATTTTTATCACATGAATTCTGGAAACTGAATTCAGGTCTTCTGGTTTGCTAGGCAAGCATTTTACCAACTGAGGCATCTTCCCAGACTCCCTCCCTTCCCCCAGGACAGGGTCTTATTACATTATCTTGGCTGGCCTGGAATTCACAATGTTGACCAGGCTATTTTCAAATTTATAGCAATCCTCCTGCCTCAGAGCCCCTCAAGTTTCTGGATTATATAGTCTTATACTACCACACCTGGCACAACGTAACTCTGTGATTGGATAGATAAGAATGACTAAGAGGTGTGTGTGAGTCTGTATGTATGTGTCTGTGTGTACAGTGGCTGAAGGAAGATGCCCGCGTCTTCCTCTAGGATCTTTTCACGCCTTATTTTTTGAGACAGTGTTTCTCACTGAACCAGAAGCTCACTAAGCCAGTGAGATCCCAGAATGGTGTCTGTCAGTACTCAAAATGTCACAGTTAAAGGCACCCACAAGCTACTTCCAGCTTTTACATGGGAGCTGGTCTTGCCTCATGCTGTAGAGCAAGCCTTCTTATTCACAATCCCTAAGCAACTACACTGGAATAAATAACTTTAAGGAAATGGTTAAGCCAGGACAAGGTACAAGATAAGTTTTTCATATTAAGATACCTTGGACTGGAGAGATGGCTCAGTGGTTAAGAGCACTGGCTGCTTTTTCAAAGGACTCAAGTTTGACTCCTAGCACCCATTCAATGGATCACAATCATCTGTAACTCTACTTCCGGGGGATCCGATGTCCTCTTCTAGCCTCTGAAGACACCAGGTATGCATATAATGCACAGATAGATGTACATGTGGGCAAAACATCCATATACATAAATGAATAAAAAATTTTAAAAAGATTTGTCTTGACCTCACATAACTTGGGATTCTTAACGTGCCCCCCTCCCCCACCAAAAAAAAGCCACGCCGTTAAGAGCGTGTGCTACGCTTTCGGTGGACCTGACTTTGGTTCCCAGCATCCATGTTGGGTGGTTCACAACTGAGTGTGACTCCAGCTCCAAGGGATCCAACATTGCCTTCTGGTCTCTCTGGGCACCTGGACACACTGCCATACACACACAAAAACAATAATAAGGGGCTGGCGAGATGGCTCAGCGATTAAGAGTACTTGCTGCTCTGGCAGAGGGCCAGGGTTCGCGGTTGGCAGCACACACATGGCAGCTCGAAAACCACCTGTAACTCCAGTTCCAGAGGATCTGGATGCCCTCTTCTGACCTTTAAAAGCCCTAAGCATGCACATGATGCACAGACATGCATGCAGGAAAAACAGTGATACGCATGACATACAACAAATCTTTAAAAATAAAACTTTTAAAAAAGTTCTTAAAAGTGGGCAATGAGGAGCCACTGTAAAGAGACAAAATACATCATCACATGAACTTTCTAACAAGCCGATCCCTTGTGAGACGAGAGGCAGACAGCTCCGTCTCGGACGAGGAGGGAGCTGGCAATTCCCTGAAAACAACCTCCAATGTCCGGGTCGGCTTCCAGAACGCTTCGGAGCGACGGTGCGCTCAGCCTGCCAGCTTCACGCGCCAGTTCCCGCGCTCCGAGGGGGCGGCGGCCCAGGAGAGCAGCTGTGCAGAACCGACCCACGCGCGATCCAGGCCGGCTGTGGGCCAGGGTCCTGAGGACCGGGACGCCGGACCCACGCGCCCCGGGGAACTCGAGGCCATGAGGCCAACGCCCTGAGGAACCTGGAGAGCTTCGAGTGAGGCGTGAAGCGTGGGAACAACCCTCCTCTCGCTCCAAGCCTTATCACTCACCCGACGGCACGTAGTCCTCATCCTCGTCCGACGTGGAGAAGTCTTCGGAATCGAATTCCTCCATGCTGCTGTCACTTGGGGCCTGCTACCCACACGACTGCGGCCACTGCCCCCAAATAGCAAAGCTCTAGGGCGAGACCATAGAGGTGCTGGACCAGCAGCTAGGGCTGCCCTGAAAGCGTGCGCACATGCGCAGACGGTGCCACGTGGTCAAATACGACATTTCCGGCTGGTGCGGTCGCTCATCCTACACTCTCCTAGCCCTTGTGGGATTTCGGATCCACCCGGAAGCGATGCATGCTGGGACTTGTAGTCTTCAGTTCTACCGTGCATCCTCGCTGGAGAACGGCCTATCTGCGGAAATACAGTTGTCTCTCTTTATACGTGTCTTTTTTATTTTCAGATCGCTTACTTGGTAACTGTTTTTTGTAACTCTTAAATCAATGATTAAAATGTTACTCCCGGGCATGCGCAGCAAGTAAAAACTAAGAGTTGATACTGTGCTAAATTCCCAGCGACTTTTGAGCTGGGAAGAAGGCTGAAGCTCCGCCTTCTTGGTTCTACTTTACCGCTAGTATCGAGTCTTTTAGCACAGTTTTAATGCCTTTCCCCCTGCATTTTGGGTTTTTCTGGATAATTTTGCAGTCTAAAATGGCTCCCAAGAATACTACTGAAACTCAAATATTCTAAGCGAAGAAGACTGTGCCTTACTGATAAAATCTGCCTGTTAAGTAAGTTGCGTTTCAGGCCTGAGTTACAAGTGGTGTTGGTAGCGAGTTCAATGTTAATGAATCAACAATCGGGTAATCAACTAAAAGACGAAAGGAAATCCGCTTATCTGTGAGTGAAGCCACTGCACGAAGTGCTAAACTGACACTTATAGTACATGACGAAGCAGTGGGAAAGATGCAAAAGAAGCAATTAATTCTGTGGCTTTGTGGGGATTAGAGAGATGGCTCAAAGGTTAAGAGTACTTGCTGCTTTTGCAGAGGACCTGGGTTCGGTTCTCAGTACCCACTACACGATGGTTCACAACCACCCTGCAGTTCGGACATGAGTGGACACCAGGCATGCCCATAGTAGACACACATACACACACACAGGTACATAGGCACGTACACGTAAAATAAAAACAAGTAAAAATTTGAAAAATTTGTGGATTCATGAGATGGCCTGTCAGAAAACCATAATGTGCTTGGCAGTGGCGCAGGCCTTTTTTGTTTTTGTTTTTGTTTTTTGAGACCGGATTTCTCTGTGTTTGAACTTGCTTTGTAGATCAGGCCTTGAACTCACAGAGATCCGCCTGCCCCTGCCTCTTGAGTGTTGGAACTAAAGGCATGCGCCACTACCACCCAGGCAAAGGTAGGCAGATTTTGGAATTCGAGGCCAGGAGGCCAGAGTGAGTTCCAGGACAGCCAGGACTAAACAGAGAAACCCTGTCTAGGAAAAATAAATAAATAAAATAAAAAAAATAAATAAAGATAAAAGAAAGAAAACCTTAATATGAAACTGAAAGCCAAATTTTCATGCCTCAAATACCGCCTTTCTCAACCAGCCCCTTGGTCAAGGTATAATTAAAGCTTGCAACGCACACTGTACAAGGGAGCTTTTTTTGTTGTTGTTTTGTTTTTTTGTTTTTTGGTTTTTGGGGGTTTTTTTTGGTTTTTTCGAGACAGGGTTTCTCTGTGTAGCTTTGCGCCTTTTCCTGGAACTCACTTGGTAGCCCAGGCTGGCCTCGAACTCACAGAGATCTGCCTGGCTCTGCCTCCCGAGTGCTGGGATTAAAGGCGTGCGCCACCACCGCCCGGCTGTTGTTTTGTTTTTTGAGACAGGGTCTCACTATGTAGCTCTGGCTGTCCTGGAACTCAGGTGCTCCACACCCATTCCATCCAATCACCAGTATCTATTGATTTGCCTGTTCTGGACATTTTATGTAAAAAGAATAATGCAGTGTGTGGTCTTTTGTGGTGTTTAGCATGGTGTTTTCAAATGTGGAATTGTGCCCTCATATAATAATGTTTTACCTTTTGAGGAACTGCTAGACTGTTTTCCAAGGGGATGCCCTGTCTATATCAGCAGCAGCAGCCTATGAGAACCCATTTCTCTGTCTACATCCTTGCCAACACCCAAGGTTGTCTTTTTAAAGGCTATGAAATAGCATCTCATTACAATCTTGATTTGTATTTCCTTGATGACAAAAGATGTTAAATATTATGTCCTTATTGGTCATTGTATATGGTCTTTGGGGGGAAAATGCCTTTTCAGCCAGGTGTGGTGGTACATGCCTTTAACCCCAGCAGAGGCAGACAGATCTCTGTAAGTTGAAGGCCAGCCCGGATTCCATAGTGAGTTCCAGGCCAGCCAGGGTTACACAGTGAAACCCTCTTTCTCACATACACACACAGTCTCCTCAGAATCTTCGCCCATTTTACAACTGGTTTTATTGACAGTGTAAGTACTTTCTGTATCCTGGATATCAGTCTTCTGTATTTCTGACTAGAGAATAGTTCCTCCAATCTTTGGAGGCCTCTTTGCACTTCTTGGTAAGTGAGGGGTCAGTCTCTGTTTCTGATGGTGTCACTAAAAGACAGGGAATGTGAGAAGCGCCAACACCCCCTGCGGCTGTTTGAGCAGACCTGAGTCTCTGGAACACCAGATGACTCATAATGGAGTCCCAGCTAACTGGAGACCTGTAGCTTGGCGCCAAAACCTAGGGCGTTGTCTGCTTCCTGCCCTTCATTTGCAGACACACGGCCTGGACATACTGCCCCCACTGTACACCCCCACATAATACGGTTGTGTGTCATTCGGACTCACTGGACAGCAACTTGACATGACCTTAACTGATTGGGTAATATATGCATATATGCCAGTGAACATACAATTAAACCAGATCTGTACCTCCATGCTGGTCTCTGGAGTCTGCTTCCGGGAAATTCGTCATGACTCTGTTTCGTTCATCCCTCCCCCACCGAGCGGAGCCGCTGTTGAGAGGGAGCAATAACCTCACAGGTAATTTCTTTTGAACGTGAATTTTTAGTTTTGATGAAGTCTATCTATTATTGTGTCATCCGTGTATGCTTTAGGTATTTTATCTAAGAACACTGCCTAAGCCAAGATCATGACTCTTACTTTAGTATCCTTCTAAGACTGGAGAGTTTTAGTTCTTACATTTAGGTCTATGATTCCTTGAAACAGACTTTTCTGTTTTAAAACTTTTTATTTGGTGTGTGTGCCCTCTTGCATGTGCTTACATCATGAACAAGCAGGGATAAGAGGAGAATCAGCAGGGCTCTGTTCTCTCCTTCCAACTTGCAGGTCCCAGGGATTGAACTCAGGTCATCAGGCTTGGTGGCAAGTGTCCTTACGCATGGAGACATCTTGCTGGCCCTAAAACAGACTTTTCTTATCTGAAAATAATAGAATAATAGGAAAACTTAGACACAGTCTTTTGAATTTCACTATTCTTGGCCTTATTATTCTTGGATATTATAAACACTCCCTGTGACTAGTAGTGTAGCCCATCATGGAGGGCATTCTCCAAAGATATGTTGGTATTCACCAGCAATCCTCTCCCATTTCTTCTAACACTAATGAAGGTCAGGTTCCCAACTAAAATTCCCAGCCAGTATGAGAACTATTGCATAGTTTCGAGTACTTGTGAGATTCTCTTTTTCCATTCTTTTTTTTTTTTTTTTTTTTTTTTTTTTTTTTTTTTTGAGAAAGGGCCTCTGTAGTCCAGCTTGGCCTAAACTCACCCTCAGAGTTGTGATAATACTCTTGCCTCAGGCTCTGAGCACTGAGATCACTGGCCTGAGTCACCATGCATGGCTGTTTATCTGAGGAGGGCTACCTGTATGTGGTATATCCATGTTCACATGTGCGTATAAGTGTGTGTGTTTGCGCTTGCACTCCTACACATGTGGAAACTAAAGGTTGGTATTGGATGTCTTCCTCAATCACGCTCTGCTTTTCTTTAGACAGGGTCTCTCTCTCACTGTTTCTTGAACCCAGAGCTAGCCACCCTTATCCTAGGAATCCCCTGCCTCCACCTCCTGAGCACTAAGGTAACAAAGGAGCCTCCACACCTGCCCAGCATTTGTGTGGGTGTGTGCTGGAGACCTGAGCTCAAGTTCTCATGCTTGCATAGCAAACGTTTTACCAACTAAGCCAGCTCCCTAGCTTGGAGATGCGTTCTTAAAAATGGTGGGTAGCAGGTCAACTCTAGCTCTAAAACATGTACCGATGGATCTAGGAACATTGTATAATTCAAGTGTAGCTTAAGGGCAGTAGTGTGAGTCCAAGGCTCTGGACTTGATCTCCAGCACCAACAAAGATTTTAAAAGAAAGAAAGAAAGAAAGAGAGAGAGAGAGAGAGAGAGAGAGAGAGAGAGAGAGAGAGAGAGAAAGAAAGAAAAGTTGTCAGCACTTAAAAATAGATGGATATCAGTCTAGAGTCCTAATTTCTCAAAAAAAAATTAAATATGGCAACAGGAGGTCATCATCCAGCAGAACAAAAATAGGCCAGAGCCAGACAACAAGGGTCCCTCCAGTCAGGGCAACAGTTAGACCAGTGCTAAGCCTCTTAAGGCGCTTGGTTCACTGATGTCTTGGCAATAATTTAGGGGATCATCCCTGCCAAATTTAGCACTGTTAGCTCCTCATCTTCCAGTCTCCACCTTCAAGCTTGGGTTGTCACTTTTATGGAAAGTCAAAGTTCCTTTCATTATGTCTCAGGTCCATACAATCATGGGGACTTCTGGCTGAACCCTGACTGTCCACACCTGTTACTCTGTATCCTTCCAGGATGGCAGAAACATGTCTCTGATCTGACAGGTAGTCACATAAGTACACACATGTGCAAAAAATTACCAAGCTGTACAGTCAACATCTGTGTACTTACTGTATGCTTAAAAAAAAATTATAGCAGAGTGTGGTGGCGCATGCCTTTAATCCCAGCACTTGAGGGGCAGAGGCAGGCAGATCTCTGTGAGTTCAAGGCCAGCCTGGTATACATAGTGAGTTCCAGGAAGGCCAGAGAAAATAATGAAACCCTGTCTAAAAACAAAAAATGAACAAACAAAAATTTATAAGATAGAATGGATGGCAAACTACCCAAGCCTGAGTGACCCACCCTGCTGAAAATAAAAGAGGCATATTAGTCACTGAGGACATTAAATTATGGAAATCTAGAGTTTCTC